CGGGGGAGGGTAGGGGGGCGAGGAGAAGCAAGATGGCAGCTTCCTTGTGGCTGAGCTGCGGCGGCAAGAGGGTGGCGAGGCTGCTGCTGGGGGGGCGGCCAGTTTCGGGCGCTGGCGTGTCTTTCCCCGCTCGAGGAGGCTGGAGGCGTCTGCACGGAACCCGAGAGCTACTGGGTGAGTGATGGGCTGGATCCTGCACCCTTCGGTGTTCGTCGGGTGCCTGTGCCGTTGGCCTGCTGCAGGTGTGTGTGGAGGAGCTGCGACGTTAAGTTAGGGATGAGGGTTGGTGGTGCTGGGGGAGAAGTAAAGGCTACGCAAGGTGGTGGGGAGGTGTGAGTGCCTGGTGTTACCAGGTCGGTGTGTAGAGTGGCAGGGCAGTTGGTGTACTGAGCTGGAGAGACTGAGCAGCAATGACCGATTGGGAAGCGGATGAGAGGCTATGGAGATGGGTTAGTTTGGTAGAGTGCTGTTTGGTTTGGTCTTGAGGTACTGCAAGTACATCAGGAAGGGTATGGGCTGATGGGAGAGAATTTGGAGAGGCGTGAGAATTATTAAAGGTCTAGAAAATGTGATCACTGAGAAAAAACTGAAGGAACTGGAGTCTAGAGAGGAAAACAGATTGATGGGAGATTAGGCCTTCAAATATGTAAATAATCTGTTGTGGATAAGGGAAAAAGTGCTTACAGTTGAAAATAGTTGAGTGTTTTCTAGGTGTAAGTATAGTTAAGTGTTGAAAGACAGAGTTTTTGGGTTTGGGTGTTCGTTCCCCCCCAATGCTTGGAGATTCCACCACCTTTCTGTCATCTGTTTATTCTACAAGTAATGTTTTAAGTAGCCGGAGGAGGGCATGGAAGCTATATTTTATGTAATTCTTCTTTTTTTTTTTTAAATGGAGAAATGGAGTTTGACTTTATTACTTGCATGTCTAGCATACATTGCTACATAGAAGTCAACCTATGAAGTTATGGCAACAGCCTTTCAAGATACTTTTTCTCTTCTCAGGAGTTTGTTGTTACAGAATTACCAGGCAGATCTTCTACTTACCTTCCATATTTTCCTCTAAGAGATGTGGGAAGGGTTTTGGATACCCACATGAAATGTGATCGTTTCTTTCCCTCTTGATCTGTTAGTTGCAACTTGTAAAACATAAACAATAATGAGGTGCATTTTTATTAGGTCCTGGTGTGATACTGAGCGTAAAATACCTGAACTCTTTGTTTTTTAAGTGCACTTATAAAGAAGTGAGGTTTTGCTAACCTTGTGTAATAAAGCTACATGCATTTTAAAATAAAACTCAGTAGTAATTTAGAGACTTGTTAATCATTGCATTTTAGATGTCAGTATACCCTTCTTTCCAGCACCTGTTGTCTTTGCTGCTTTGCAGTATGAAAATCTTTTCCTCTGCAAAATGTGCTGTGTATGATATAGGGAAGGCCATCCATGTTCTTGAAACAAGTGTTATTTATCTTTCAGATTTTATTAGAGAAAAATTGCTTCCTTCTTCATAAAATATGTTTGTCTTTTTGTCCAATGCAGGATTAGCTATGTCTACATTAGTGTTATTGTCTAACTCCTTAAAGACCTCTTGTTTACAGTCCTTCCAGGCAATCTATTGTAGTACTTTTTATCTTTATGGTGAGAAAGGCTTATTTAATATATAGCTGGAGTTAAATTATTAATTTTGTGTATGGAAATCAGTGAAATCTTTTCTTCCTTACAGTAAGCTTTTATGTATTAAGGTGGATATATCACACCTTTAACTTGTTCAGGCTTTCCTCATTGACTTGTTTCTTTGAACCCTCAGTATTCCTTACTGCTTTTCAAGGTGGTGCATATCTCAGTGACACCAGTTTTCTTAAATATTTATTGTAGTCTCTAAAATGAAAACAAAGAGAAAAGTCATAACTTCTCTGGTGAAATACAACTCTTTTGGCAAACTCACTCTTTGTTCCTAGTTTGAGAATTTAAAGGTAAGTCAGTTTTATTTTAGTATTAGTTTTATTTCTCCACTTTTCTGTTTCTGAAAATGCCAATATTTGAAGCATCAGTTCATGTGGATATAGTTTTGTTGTTTCACTTTAGTTTTTTGCTTCTCTATGTGTTTCTGTCCCTCTCTGTGGTGGTGGTAGGGGAGGGAGAAAGCTGCTTTGCATAGTCAAAACAATTAATTCAGAATTTAATTCCCAGTTTGTTGGTTATAAGGCAGGAAGAAAAATAGAATGAACCTTTATGTTGGAGGTCTGTCAACTTTTCTTTGGTTTTAATGTTTCTTAATCTTATCATTGATGTCAGGTTGGAGTAAATCTTTAAATTCTCTACTGACTACAGAGTATGGCTTAAGAAGGTATGAAATATCTCTCCGGTGGAGCACATTCAAGCATTTGTCTTCAGTTCATTGCAGGTTTTTTGGTTTGACAATGCTGTAGCTGTTCCCATGTCAAAGGAGGTCAAAAAGAAGCAACGAACCTGTGTTATGCTGAATAAGCTTAAGTACAAAATTCACAGTCAATGAGATTCTCAGATTGTAGTTAATAGGATATTAGAGAAGTCTACCAGTCTGCTCTTCTCTTAAAGCTCTGCTCTTCAGTCTGTTTGATACACAGCCTAAATAAGCATTGAGTCTCTTCATGGAGAAGGAAGGAGGCAGGAATGTCATGCCCAGACTCAGCTTGATTCTTAAAATGTGTCACCAAGAACAAATTCTCTCAGATACACGGAGGGTTTTCTTTAAAATAGCAGCTACTGTTTATGTGAAGTTTTTCTAAGTCTTCCTCCTTTTTTAATCAGATAGTTGATATGTAATAACACAGTTACTGTTGATAGTAAAATTAATAGATGGTGACTGGGAGTTCAGAACTTTCATATGCTCATGGCTCTAAATTCTATTATGCTGTCTTTGAATCATGGAATCATTAAGGTTGGAAAAGACCTCTAAGATCATCGAGTCCAACCGCCAACCCAACACCACCATGCCCACTAAACCATGTTCCTAAGCGCCTCATCTACGTGTCTTTTAAATACTTCCGGGGATGGTGACGCAACCACTTCCCTGGGCAGCCTGTTCCAATGTTTAACCACTCTTTCAGTAAAGAAATCTTTCCTCATGTCCAATCTAAACCTCCCCTGGTGCAACTTGAGGCCATTTCCTCTGGTCCTATTGCTAGTTAGGATTAGCTAGTTACTTCACAGAGTGCTTGTAAGGACTGCCTATATAATGCAACTAACCTACATGAATGCAACAACTCCTTTTATTAGCATTTTTTTTAATTTAATGATGGAAAATACTATTTGGTGAAGGGAATTGCTTTTTTTTTAGAGACATATTTAAGCCTGTTTTTTGGATGTGTATGGTCATTAAATGAAAAGTGACTAAAATAGGTTTGAAAGGAGACCATTGTTCTTGTGTATCTGTTGCTGAACTTCTTTGAACATATGCATCTCTATGCATGAGCATTAAATGAATGGAGAGGTTGGTGAGCTTGTGTGACAGTGTGCTCCCCTGCCCAACCTGATCTTTATCTCCTGTAACTCTGCTCAAGGAATAACTACTGGGGTGGTCGTTAATGGATGCTGATAGTGATAGCTGTCCATTCAAAGTGGATTCGGGAGCCAGATAACAACACAGTAACCAAGGGCTATTGTGAGAAATACACCCACCTAACCACAGTTATCAGTATGCAAATATGACTGAGTCAATCATCTTACCCCTATAAATAGTGAGCAGCCCAAGAGCCCTTTGAGCTCTTCTGCACAGCAGTGGGCTGCATGATAGGATCCCCCCCTTGAGTAGGGATGCCTCTCAAGCTTACATGAAATCATAGAATAGTTTGGGTTGGAAGGGACCTCTAAAGGTCATCTAGTCCAAACCCCACTGCAATGAGCAGAGATGTCTTCAACTAGATCAGGTTGCTCAGAGCCCCACCCAATCTGACCTTGAATGTTTCCAGGGATGGGGCATCCACCACCTCTCTGGGCAACCTGCTCCAGTGTTTCACCGCCCTCAGCATTAAAAATTTCTTCCTTTATATCTACTCTAAATCTACCCCCCTTTAGTTTAAAGCTGTTCCCCCTTGTCCTGTTGCAACAGGCCCTGCTAAAAAGTTTGCCACCATCTTTTTTATAAGCCCCCTTTAAGTACTGAAAGGCTGCAATAAGGTCTCTCTGCAGCCTTCTCTTCTCTAGGCTGAACAACCCCAACTCTCTCAG